CCATCTTGGCTGACAGTTAATTTGCATAAGGATATGCTGATTAGCCAATGGGAAGGGTAGCGGTCGTACGCTAATTACCATGTTTCTCTTTTATTAGTGTAGATAATAAAAGCCTAGGTGGCGTCATGCCCTCACGCAATGCCCTCGCGCAACACTGCCACAAGATGGCTGCCCACACAGTGGAGGCGGGGCCCGGTGGCCGCTCCGCGTGGTGAGGCCTGAGGGTCCCGCGGCTCTGCACGGCATGGAGGCCAGTCCCAGCGTCTCCGCCGCCTCACGCATAGGAGGCAGGTCCCCGCAGAGGAGGCGGGTCATGGAAGGGGAGGGCAGTTGTGGGCGATCAGGCCAGCAGAGGAGGGCAGTGTGGGCAATCAGGCCGGCAGGGGAGGGCAATTGGGGACGATCAGGCCAGCGAGGGAGGGCAGTTGGGGACAATCGGGCCAGCAGAGGAGGGCAGTTGTGGGCAATCAGGCTGGCAGTGGAGGGCAGTTGGGGGCGATCAGGCTGGCAGGGGAGAGGATAGAGGACAATCAGGCTGGCAGGCAGAAGCAGTTAGAGGTAATCAGGCAGGCGAGTGGCTAGGAGCCAGTGGTGCCGGATTGTGAGAAAGATGTCCCTGAGGGATTGGGCCTAAACTGGCAGTCAGACATCCGCCAAGACGACCCAGATTGGAGAGGGTGCAGGCCAGGCTGAGGGACACACACACACACACACACACACACACACACACGAATTTCGTGCACCGGGCCTCTAGTATATAGATGATGACATCAAAATACAGTATATATTCAAAGCTCTTAAAAATGTAAGGCATGCCCGGGCAGCATGGCTCAGTGGTTGAATGTCAACCTATGAACTAGGTCACAGTTTGATTCCTGGTCAGGGCACGTGCCTAGCTTGCAGGCTCCATCCCAGTGTGGGATGTGTGGGAGGTAGCCAATCAATGATTCTCTCTCATTATTTATCTTTCTAGCTCTCTCTCCCTCTTCCTTCCTCTCTGAAATCAATAAAAATGTAAGGCATTATTAATATATTTATACTTTCTCAAACTAAGAAAGCAAGTGGGATTAGACACATTCATTTACAAAGTCCCCAATGATAGTAATGTCCTAAAATATTGTGTGAACAAAATTCAAGATTTAATAAGCATAAACATCTATAGAACTAGATTATACTTTTGAAAACGGCTGAATTAGAAGCTTCTAAAGCTGAACCAACTAAATTCATTCAATATTCAACAAATGCTTATTGGGGGAAAACAACAACAGGAACAAAAAACTACCTCTCAGAGCCTATGTTGAAATACTGGAAAGGTACAACAGGGAGAAAAATCAGCCTCATCCCTGACCTCATTAATCAAACAATTAGTCAAATATATGGAATTCTATTACTGTTTAGTGCTACAAAGGAAAGATATAAGGGACTAATAGAGTGAATAATAAAGTTTTTTAAATGGAAGGTTATGGAACATGTCCTTGATTAAGTAATTTGTGTGCTGACATCTGAAGGCTGAATACCAGCTAACAAGCAAAGAGAACAGGAACAAGTGCAAAAACTCCATGACCAAACATCAGAGGAAGGGAAAGAAGGCATGTGTGGCTAGAAGGAGATGGAGTTGGGGAATAAAAAAGGGCTCA